CCGCCGTCCGCACCGTCCAGGCCCTTCCCCTATCGCCGCTCGCCCACGGACTCCGATGTGTCCCTCGACTCTGAGGACTCCGGGGCGAAGTCGCCCGGCATCCTGGGCTACAACATCTGTCCCCGCGGGTGGAATGGGAGCCTGAGGCTCAAGCGTGGCAGCCTCCCCACCGAGGCCTCCTGCACCACCTAAAGCCTCCCCCTTCCCATCCCGGGAGCGCCGAGCTGGAAGAGATCTTGGCAGAGATCAACCTTGGGATATCTCAGCACCACATCCCCAAAGGGTCTGGCCCGTTTGGACAGCCCCAGAGATAAGGGGTTAAGGGCCAGAGCTCTGGGCGTGGAGTAGTGATCCAAGCTTGGGTTCTAGCTCTAACGATATGATTCAGTCTGAGAAGCCTAAAAGGAATCCTTGTGTGAACCTGGGAAAGACCCTTCCTCTGTCTGACCCTCAGCTTTTCCAATGAGGCTTTGGCCAAAGCAATCTCCAAAAGTCTAAATGCCCCCCCCCCACACACACACGCAAGCACGTGCACACACACACACACACACAGGCCCCCCAGCCTTGGAAGAGTTGATGCATTCCAGTGTTCCATACTCCCTCCCTTCCTGGCTCTCCTCTCTGGAGTCTGGCAAATGAGGGGTATGTTCAGAAGATCCTAGGCCTAAGTTCCCTGTCCAGGTCCTGGCTTGACCATCCTCCTTCCTGGCTCCAAGTCCCAGGCAGTAGCAGCTGTTTTCCATCCCTGCCCAGACAAGCTCTATTTTTACCATCGTGACCTTTAGTGAGGTCTCCCGGGCCAGCTCAAGGTGCCCCGCTCCTCTGGAGAAAAGAGGCAGGAAGATTCCTCCTCCCAGATCCCTCTTATACTTTTCTCCATCCCAGCTCAAACTGCCCAGGGCATCTTAACTGCAGCCCAAGAAGAGAGCTCTACCACAATGATTTCCCCCAGGCCCAGGACTTGGGCCTCTAGGAATGCTATTGGTGCCTCCAACCCGTCTATCCCTTCTAGGCCCTTTCATGGCAGCCCTTTCAAAGCTGAGCCCTTTCGGAGTTGACATGGAGCTCTCTGCTAGCCTGTGGCTTTACCTGATGGCCCTGAGTTTGAGGTTGACCATATGGAAAGAGGGAAGCAAAGATTTCCTTGTTATAGGATGTACGCAAGCAGTGGCCAGATGCACAGAAGATATTCTAGTAGAAAATGGATTGGCTCAGATGACCTGAGAGCTCTTCCAGTCCTGAAATGCATTCCACAGTAAGGGAAGGGAAGGAGAGTACTGGTGGAGAATTGGATGGGCAAAATTCAGGGGCAGGTGAGCTAGAAGTTAGACCAGAGCCAACCTATGTTTCTGGTTTCTTAGGAAGCACCCACTCTTCAGTTCCAGGCCCCAGGATCCATATCATACGCCGATGAATGGGCACTATCTATCTCCTTCCCATTGCACTCTGGCTAGCTAGTACACAGGACCCAGTGACCTTGGGGAGCCTGGTAGCAGGCTCTAGCATGTCCTTTAAATCCTGGTGGCTCTGACTCCAATTCCCAGAGGGACATGGGGAGGAATTGGCTAAGTTCCACAGTTTCCAGAGTTGGCTGTGATGCCCTCTAGAAGTTCAGAATATTTACTTTAGGATATTAAGTGCAGGGGTGCAGGTGGCGGTGGTGGTGTTAGAACTGGCTGAAGATCAGAGGTGTGTAGGTGAAAGGATACCAGGATGTTGCTAAAGATGAAGGATAGAGTGTGATTTTGGATTAGGGGTAGACTTACCCTAACCCAAACTCACTTGTTAGACCTGGAACCCTTAAATGAAGCTAAGAGAAGCTGAGGATCAGGATGTGACTGGGGTGCTTTGGAATAAAGAAGTGATCCCAGAGGGTTCCTAGGGTATAAGGATTGGGAACACAGGCTCTGTTGGTGGGAAGATGAGGGGGTCAATGATGAGTGACCACATTTACCAAAGTCTTCACCTGCTTCAGGGTCCCTTGTAACACAGAAGCCAAGCTAAGGCCTGTTTCAAAGAAGAGACATTATTAGGCCACTGGCTGAGGCAGTGGCATAGAACATCTACTTCTACCTGCATTTACACAAAGAGCCAGCAGGAGGCAGTCTTGGAAAGCTGCAGTTCTGTCTGGCTATTCCCTTGCTTCACTGCCTTCTCCCTATCTTCTCCTCTAACCCACTAGAGATTGCCTGTGTCCTGTCTCTTGTCTCCTATAGAATTCAGCTCTGGCCCTAAATAAATGCTTCCTGAATCCTTTTGCCTCCTGGGTCATTTTCGGCTGTGTCTAAAGCCCTTCTTTTCTCCCCAACCATGGGACAGTCCACGGGACTTAGGGTGGATGAGAATGTTTGATACACATGGGATGGGAGCTTGAGAAGTAACAACCATGAGGAGAGATAGGGAACAACATAAAAACTCCAGGCCATAGGAGATGTCACTGAGTTGAAGCCCTGGCTCTATGGTCTACTAGCTAGGTGACCCAGGGTAAACCCACTCCTTTTCTCTCTAGGCCTCAGCTTCCCTATCTGTGTAGAGTGAGCTGGGCGAGCGGATGTCTCAGGGTGGTATGGCCCAGGCCCTGACCACAAGGCAGTGTCACTGGAGTGTGCAGGGCCAAGCTGGGATAGGGCTCCGGGCTCCGGGCTGCTTCCTCAGAAGCAGGTCAGAGCTCCAGGCAAGAGCAGGAGGTAATGTTCAAGTCCAGACAATCCTAGTGAGAGCAGAACAAACCATTAGGAGTGCTCCTCTCCTGATGGGGGCATCCTTTGCCCGAAGAAGGGAGCTGTGGCCCCACTCCCAGGTGAGGCCATGCCTGCCCTAGGAACATTCCTCACCTTCCTATCTGGACGCTCAGGCCCTACAGAGGCTGAGCAGAGGAACCCAAGTGGAAGGAAGCCGTGCCCAGGCCGTCCACAGCAAAGTCCAGGCTCTTCCTAAGAAGGTTGTCAGAAATACATCCTTATAGACAGTGTCTGTCACACAGGTACAAATCTCCCTGCCCAGACCCTGTGCAACCTTGCTGCTCCCACCCTTCCATGGGAGTAGTTGGTATGCCTCTCCCCCAGTCTTTATTTTTAGCTGGAACCTTCCCTGAATGCAGTATCCCCCTGCCCAATCTGCTCCTCCTGTTACCTTCCTTAGTCATCTAAGCCAGACACCGGAGTGGCCCTCTCCTCACCTCCCACATTCAATCTCTCACAAGGACCTAGTGATTCCCCAAATACCTCTCAAATCCCTTTCCTCCTATGGATGCCCTCTGTCACTGCCCATTAAGCCACCCCATCCCTCCCCTGACCATAGTGAAGACCTGCCTCCAGTATGACCCCTTCCCTGCCCCCCCCCCCCATTTTCCATATGGCAGCCAGAGACATCTTTGGAAAAATGCCAATCTGACCACTCCATCCCACCACTTTAAACTCTTCACGGCTCTTTATAAAGCACACTTGCCTTTTGAAAAGCTTGCTGTGATCTGGCCCCTGCCCACCTGTCTGGCCTCATCTCTCAGCACTGCCCCACCCCCCAGTTCTGGCTCCACTTGCCGACCTCCTACCATCTTTATACATGACCCGGCCTCTGCCTGCAATTCCTGTGTCCTCTCTCTGCCCAGTGAACTCCCACTCAGCCTACAAGGCCCAGCTCAAATGTCTCTTCCTCTGGGAAGCCTTCCCCACCCCCAGGCTGAGCTGATGGCACCCTCCCCTGGGTCCTCCCAGAGCATTTCCCATGATGCGTCTCAAAGGCTTATTTACGGGCCTGACTTGGGCCTGACTTGGGCCTGGCTGATGCATCCATGAGCACGGAATCCTGCCTTAGTTATTTACAGTCCATAGAGGCTCAGAGAATGTGAGAAGGTGGAGGGAGAGAAGAAGGAGGCAGAAAGAAGAAGAGAAGACAGGAAAGAAAGAATAAGTCAAACAAAGATACTGAAGGACAATTCATCCATCCACCCATCCACCTACCTATCCATCCATCCATCCATGCATCCATGCATCCATCCATCCAACAAATATCTATGGTCATCCTATCAGGCTCCATTCTAGGCACTAAGGATACAATCAGCAAGCTCAAGTGACCGGTGACTGACTCTCAGCATTTCCAGGTGACTTTGGTGTGTGCATATGAACGTCTGTGTGTTCGTGTGTGCAAAGCCTTCTGTCGGCAAGGGCCTGCTGCTGGGGCACCTGTCTTCCCTGGGGCCTGGTGCATTTAGCATCTGTCCCTGGATCCTGTTGCAGCCCGAAATAAGGCTGTGAGCCACAACAAGGCAGGAACAATTCTCGTCAGCTGAAGCCAGAGCTGGCTGCAGGGCACACTCAGCTCTCTGACTGCCCGACGGCTGCACGGACGCTGACCACCCAACTCTCAGCTCCCCGACAGAGGTGTTAATCTTGAGGGTCTGATATTCTTTCTGCCCACGGTGGTCCCAGCGCTCAGGTACCAGGATCCTAGGGGAATTTGAGGAGCTGTGGGGAGTGGGTGGAGGAGATGAGCCAATTCCCAGAGCCCCTTCCTGTCCAAGAAGGGGAAGGGACTGCAGAGTCTGGGGAGTGTGGGGCCTCGTCGAAGCCTGAATCCTGAGTTGGGAAGGGAGGGATTCTAAGCCTAGGTTACTCTAGGTTAAATGGGGAAAGGGTGGCTAGGATTCATGGTGGGGGTTAGCTAATGGCTCTGCTCAGGATTCCAAGATTTTTAGGGAGTAGGGTGCCTGTCTGGAAAATGAGGGGCCTTTCCCAATGTCTGTGAATTTCTGAAAAGGGGCTGATTATCGAGAAACAGGTCTGTGGACTGTGGTGTCCTCAGGGGTCACAGCCGGAGCTCTCTCAATCATCTCATGACCCTCACCCAAATGCATGCAGACGTGCTCATGTTTGCATCATTTTAGGGGGCTCATGGATGCTTTTGAAGCCCATCCATGGATCTCCATGATCTAGCCCAACCCTTTATGTTACAGAGAGGGAAACTGAGTCACAGAGCTGGAGAGCAACTTGCTCACAGTTATAGAGGGAGTCAGAGACACCGATTAGCTGCCAAGCCACCCAGCTCGGTGCCCACTGACCTAGGCTGGGAGTGAGTGTCGGGGTACAGATGGTAGGAAGGAATACAGAAAAATCTGGAAAAAAGCAGAGGTGTGTAACAGGGGTGTGTAATCTGTCGGAGGTTCAAAGGATCTGCCTCCTCTTTTGGGGGGCAAGTTTGGGGATTTGGACTTGGGGCCTGCAGGGGTTTAGGGGAGGTTCTGAACCTCATTTTATTTGCAAATTTCCTAGAAAGTGTCATGAGATACAAATGGGGGGGGTGGAGGAGGAGAAAGAGAAGGGTGAGAAAGAAGAGAGCACCATGGGGTACTAGACTTATTGGGGTGATCACTTCGTAAGTTGTATAACTATCTAATCACTATGCCATACACCTAAAACTTATATAATGTTGTGTGTCAACTGTAATTTTAAAATAAAAACATTATTAAAATAAAAGGGAGCATCATGAAAGTCAGTTCTGGGGTGAGGGTATAGGAGGGGATGATGGTTTTCTCAGCTTCCTTGGACCAGCCTGTGACCTCAAGTCTTAGGGCCAAGTACTAGGGAAAGTAAGGGAGGGCCAGCCTTGCAGACCCCAGCGTCACCCATGCCCATCCACCTATACCCCTTCTCCCCGATGTAAACCTCCAACTTCCTTCAGCCACTGATCAGAGCTCACCTACATCAGTGGATGAAAACAGTTTGAGACCCCCACCTCCCACCCGTAATGTCCCAGAGTTTACCCCCTAAAGAGAGAGTGCCCCTCTAGCTGCACGGAAGCACTGAGCATCTCCCTCACTCCCCCTGGACTCAGCCTCCTCCTCTGTATGTAGAGACCCCAAAGGCCCACCCAGCTCAGACAGCCCTTGCTTGAGACCTTGGGGTGGGCTGGAGTTGAATGGGCCAGGGACTTGAAGGAGGCCTGGGAGGGCAATGGAGGCGGCCTGGCCCATGTGTGGATCATCTCATCTACAGGATGATCCCCAAGGAGCAGAAGGAGCCAGTGATGGCTGCCATGGGGGACCAAGCTGGACCAGGTAAGGTGGACCCAGCCTGTGTGCATTCCGCAGACCCCATCCTTTTTTGGTCCCAGATTGCAGTCACTCGGGTCTGCTGGCCCCAGCCCTATAAAAACAGGTGTGAGTTCCAGGCCAGCCCCAAGGGAGTGCCTGTGGAATCTGCCACCTGGGCTGGAAGCTCCCCAAAGCATTGGGAAGGGCGTTGCCCTGCTGTCCTCACACCCAGAAGCTGCAGTTGTGTGCCCTAGACCAAGCCTGGCCCCAGCTAAGTCCTTGCCTCAGTCTCAAATGGAACTCGGCGGGCTCTGATCCCAGACCCAGCCTTAACTGCAGCCCCACACTCCCCACACGCTTGTCCTTGCTTGTTGAAACTGCGTCTCACCGAGTCCCCATGGCAAGAGACAGGGGTTGGGGGGAAAGTGGGCAGGTGGCAAGAACAAGCTACCCAGTTGGACTCAAACAATTTCACTTAAAAACCGACTCATCCTAATGCATAAACCATCTAAAATACACGTTTATCAACTTTATAAGACTTCTCAGAACTCTTGGCAAAATTTGGAATCCATTTACTTGGCCTACTTTAGAGCATTTCAAGAATTTAAAATAAGCAAATTCAACTAAGTCAGGCCTCTCAAACTTTCATGTCAACCACAGTGACATGGTGTTGGTTAAAATGCAGATTGCCAGCATCCACCCCAGGGGTTCTGACTCAGTGGACCTGGGGAGGGGGCCATGCATTGCCTTTTAGACCAGCACCTGTGTTATTCCAACACAGATGGACAGTGAGCCGAGCTCTGATAAACCCTAGCCTAAGACCACTGCTAGGTTTTGCCTAAGAAGTATTTAAGCATATGTGAGTCGTCCTCTTAACCTGTTTTATGTGTTCTTGCCTCCTTTTGTGTGAGTCAAGTTTTTTCTTTTATTCCATGATTTCATGTGCTGAAACACACAAACTTTGGGAAGTGTTGGTTGGTGCTCTAACCAGAAGAATAGGGCCATGCATTCTCTCTTCTAAGCAATTAATTTGATCCCAAAATATTGGCACATATCATTTATGCAAGACTGGAAATATGTAAAATGTTGACTATTGCTAGGTTATTACTTAAAGACAATTTTGAAACTAAAGAAAAATATAAAGTAAAAAAACAAAACCAAAACTACCTCATGGTGTTGCTACCAAAAGACACCCATTGCAGAGTAAGAATAATGAAAATACCATTACTGTGTGCTTACCATGTGTCAGATACTGTGCTAAGAGCTTTGATGCTTTATGTTACATAACCTCCACAACAACTCTGTCAATTAGACATTATTATCGCCATTTAGCAGATGAGAAACTGAGGCCCAGAGGAGCTAGGTGGTCACACATCCTAGCAGGTGATATAATCGCGTTTTCACTTCAGATCTGCTTCTTTACTATATGGTTATACAAATAATACATCTATACATGTACAAGCCTAAATGACTGGCCGACTGGCTGGTAGCTATGACACACACTGACTACCAGGGGGCAGATGCTCAACGCAGGAGCTGCTGAGTTGAGGTGACTTGGCAGCTGTGGTTCTCAGGTGATGCACGGAACCAGAGAGGAGGGAGCCCGATTCTGGGCTGTGTCACCCGAGAACCACCTCTCACAATCTGGGACCCCTCGGGGGATGTCAGGGAGCCAATTTTGGCCTGATCCCCGCAGGCCAGGCTGAGGGACCCCACTGGTGCACACATCCATGCACCAGGCCTCTAGTCATTTTAGAAAATATTCAGACAAAACAGACATGAAGGACTTTGAAAGTGAAAGTTCCTTCTAGTAGAACCATTTGGAGATAACCAATGTTCTAATATTTGTGTCAATCCTTTTTCTGTTCATATATAAACATGTTTATATAAGTGCAAAAACATACACGTGGGCTAAAGACTGTGTTCTTCAACTTAAATTTCTTTTCACTTAGCAGCATACCACAGACTCCTTTCCATCCTCACCACCTTACCACCTCCCCCTGCTTCCCTAGCATGTCATATGTTATATATATGTATACTCATACAAACCTTCAAATGGTGTCATGAAGGCTCGTCTCAGGGTGGAACCCTTAGGAGCAGAGCCTGAGGATTCTAGAGCAAGTGACTTATTGAGGTTGCACTCTCAGGAGAAGGGAAGTGAAGTAGGACAGGGCAGGGGAAATTGCTGAGCAAGGATGTGGGCTCAGCTGTAGCCCAGATTCAGTCTGACCCTGGGGGTGCCACAGAATTCACCCCATCTTCAGCAAGGACCATGACCCTTTCTGCTCACCTGGGCAGTTCTCTGCAGAAGGTGGCAGTTGTGGGCTGTCAACCACTGATAAAGGGCACCTTGGCAGCATCCACCACAGACTGATCCCAGGTTTTGTAATTTGAAACCTCACTGTAATAAACATTCTTGTACTTATATCTTTGGGCATGTTTACTCCATTTTTCTCCCCAAGAATGAATTGCTTAGTCAAATAGGTTTTGGTCTGTAGCTTTTTTTCTTTTTTTAAAAAATATTAAGCTCTGTTTGTCTGGATAATATTTGAGAATATAATGCCAAGAGACTTTTTGTTATGTATTTGTTTTTTATGTTTTTGTTTCTTTCCTTTTTTGTATTTTTAAGTGTGCAATACATTTTCTTGTTTTTTAAAAAAATAACAGTGCAAAACAATTACAATTTCTAGCCCTCCATCTTCCTATGTCCCATAAGTCATCACTGCTAATATTAGGCATGTTCCTTGCAGATTTTTCAATGCATGTATGAACATATATTTATTTTTTTAAATATACAAGTGGGACCTTAGAATATAAATTCTTCTGAAACGTGCTTTCTCCCCTTCTAACCTACAGCGGATTTCTTTATGCCCCTAACATGTAGAAGGTGCTCTCTCTATATCTGCTGAACGAATGAAAAAAATATCAACCTCCTTTTTAAAAAGGCTCTGTAGGAGTCCTTTGAATGGAATGAGTCACAGCCCCTGACTGGACTCAGTACTGCCTGGTGACCACGTCCATCTCCCCGGCCTGTTCACCCACCCATGCTACTCTCAGACAACTTTGGCAACCTCTCTCCTCAACCCTCCAATGCCTCCTCCCCCATCTTTTTTCTCAGTTAATGACCTTCTTATTTCACTGAGAAAAGTGAAGTCACCAGAAGAGAACATCTGCAAGCTGCCCCCTCACAGCTGTTCATTGCTTGGCCTTATGTCCACGTTCTCAGTTTTCCTTCCTGATGTGATAGATGAACTCTCCTTGCCAGTCTGAAGCCAACCCTTCTAGTTGGGCACTGGATGCCCTCCCTCCTTCTCTCTTACTCAAGGACAGATATTTCTTCAGTAATTCTCCACTCTCTCATTGCACTGTCAAATTTTCCCATCAGCTAACAAACATGCTATTATTTCTCCCTCTTTAGAAACAAACAAATAAACAAGCAACCCCTCCTGATTGCACAGCTGCCTTCACCATGGTCTAGAGCAGTGGTCGCTAACCGGTGGTCCGTGAGGTCGGAAAGGTTGGCGACTGCTGGTCTAGAGCACAGCTCCTCAAAGCAGTTGTCTCTATTTTCTTCCCCTTCTCTTCTTCTAACATTTTACCAAGCCAATTTCCAAACACACATAAAAGGAGAGTGCAAATCCCTATGGCCCTCCTTTCATTCCTGGAATCCAAAGCAAATCCCAAAGAGTATGTCATCTCATGCTCTAAATACTTCCGAATGCATAAAAATCATAAAAATGATTTCCTTACACACCACAAAGTTATCAGCACACAAAACAAAATTAGCAATACTGTCTAATAGCCAGTCTTAGTCAACTTTCTCCAATCTTCTACTTTGTTATAATGAGGATTCAAATAAGGGCCATTGTTTCTATTTGGTTGCTATGTCCCTTAAATCTCCTTTCATCTAAAACAACCCCCACTTATTTTTCCCATGTCACTCACTCTTTTGAAGAAACCAGGCCAGTTGCCCTGTAGAATGAATGTTCCACGTCCTAGATTTGGCTCATTGCTTCCTCGTGGTGTGGCCCAACGGTTCCTCTGTCCATTTTCTCTTGAACCCTCTCCAATAAGGCTTTGACACCCAATACTTCCCAGCAACTGCTTCTGTGAAGATCACCAATAGTAATGGCACATTACTAAATATCATCGTCAATTTAGCCCTCATCTTACTTGACACATCAGCAGCATCTGACTCTGTTGTTCAGCCCATCTTCCTTGAAATGCTTTAATCATTTGGTTTCCAGGACACCATGCTCTAGATTTCCTCCTGCTTCACTGGGCGCTCCTCCCGGGCTCCAGGGCTGTGTCATTCCTCCGTCTAAATGTTGGAGCCCCAGGCTATAAACTGGCTATTGTCTCAACTATAAGAGGAGAAATAACTGTGATGTTCTTCATTGAAAACATCACACTTATTTCTCTTCTTATGCCCTAATCTTTATCTCAGGCCAGTTACCTCCCATGAACTCGAGTCTCTCCACATGGATACATACAAGTCTCTTTAAACCTTATATGCCCAATTTTGAAGAAATTAGGGGACCTTAAATATGGAATAAACATTATATAGAACAGAAATTTGCTCACTTGGAAAGGTGGAGATCTTCAACTGAATTCCCAACTCTCCCCACAGTTTCTCCTCCTCCAGACCTTCCACATCTCAGGGAGTGGCCGCTCCAACCTTCCAGTAACTCAGGCCAGAAAGCCTGCTGTCGCCCTCCACTCTCCCCTCTCTCTTTCGTATCCCTTACCCAGGGCTTACCTTTAAAGACACCGAGGACCTGGCCATTTCTCACTACCTCCACCGCTGTGGGCAAAGCTGCACAGGAAATCCATGGAATAAGTAAATACAAATGGCCAAAGGGCATCTGAAACGATGCTCATTTCACTGTTAGACACATGCAAATTAAACTCTGAGGTGTCATCTCTGCCCACCAGGTGGACAGAGTCCACTGAATGATGGCACTCAGTGTTGGCAAGTGTGGGGAGAAGCCGGCATTCTCACACACCACGGACAGTGCCCTGAGGAGATCTCCTTAGAAGTGTCTCTGAGTGGCCTGGCCTCTCCCTGCAGCCCCTTTGCTGGACCTGGGCAAGAAGCTGAGCATGCCCCAGGACTTAATGATGGAGGAGCTATCGCTACCCAACAACCGAGGATCCCTCCTCTTCCAGAAGAGACAGCGCCGTGTGCAGAAATTCACCTTTGAGCTTGCTGCTAGCCAGCGGGAGGTAAGACCCCATTGTGCTCATAGGGAAACTGAGGCCCAAAGAGGCCAGTGGTTTGCCAAAAACCAAAGAGTCAGGTGAGGACCTCTGGCACCTGGGCAGGCCCTCAAGCTCCAGCTAGAGAGGGCTGTGACATTCCCATCAGACTGACTCCCTGGCCTTGCTGTGTGAGCCTAGAAGTTTTGTCTTCAATGCACATCTCTCTCCCAAGACAAAATATAACATGGAGTGGGTAGGGGGAGCTGCAGAGTGAAGGGGCTCCAGCTCCTACCAATAGTGCTGAAGAATAGTCATGTGTGCTGGGCTGAATTTGCAGCAAGCTAAATTTAGATTCGACCTGATCTAAGATGGAAAACACAGAATGCCCCTTTCTCTGCTTCCCACTGGAAGAAGGACAAGACCGCAGACCAGTCGGCTGGTAGAGAAAGGAGGCGGGGATGCTTATCCTCAGGCTTCCAAAAGGCAGCAGGCAGTTTCGGCCACCCTAATGAACGCAGGGGCATCTCATCCGTACTCCGCCCAATTTCTGGATGAGACAGGAGGCAACTGAGTTTTATGGCAGAACAATGAAGATAACAAACACTTACCTTTGCTATGTATCTAAAACACAGGTAGCTAAGAACTTAAATGTTATCAGCTCATTTTTCGCTCAAGAAGTGAGATTATCATCATCTCCATTTCACAGAGAGGGAAACTGAGGTTCAGGGAGGTGATTTGCCCAGGGTTAATATTATAGTAGCAACTATATACAAAGTATCTCTCTGTCCTGGGCACTGGGTTTAGGGCACTGCACAATTCACTCATAACCCCCCCCCAAATTAATCTTATTTAATAAGGTGGGAGAAAAAATTGCCTGGCTGAGGTGGCTCAGTGCTTCAGCATCAACCCATGAACCCCCCGCCACCCCCAACATCTCCAGGAGGTAGATGCTAGGATTATGTGCCCCTCTTTTTTGTGGAGGGTGATCCCTGGCCCACCCCTCACCCCCACTCCCAGACGGTGGCTGGAAGAGCACCTAGGGGACTGTGACTTGGAACAGCAGAACCAGGGACAGTGAGTGTGAAAGGAGATCCCACAAGAGGGGACGCTGGGTGATGGGGTCTGCAATATCAAGGCTATCCATTGCCCAGGTTGCCAACAGCCTGGAGTTGCAGAACTGCCACTCAGAGCTCCACATCTTCCCAGCCGGGGACCCTGAGGATGCCCAGCCTGAAGCTTCCCGGGTGAAGCGTGCCCCTAGCCCCAGCGCCCTGGCACCAGGTGAGTGGCCTCCCCAATCTGGACCAAAGAGGAAGGGCAGGGTTATGGGGTAGGAATGAGAGTGTGGGCACACTGCTCCATGGTGGAGCAGGAAGAGAGCCCAGAGCATCTAGTCCACCCCCTTCCCTATCCAAACACACACCCCCCTCCATGGACCTAACCCAAGAGGAGCAGCAACGCAACCCAGGTCACACAGCAAGTCAAGATTAGAAGCTGAACCTCAAATGGTAATTCCCCTACTCCAATCCTCCTTGTTCCTAGGGATGGGGAAGGTTACCTTTTGAGGGAACAACTTTTGGCATCACCCTCCCTGCCACACCCCATATACACTCCCCTTTCCCACCTTTGGTCTTCCCTCCCCCAACCCCTTTCTGAGGTGGGTGTGGGTGTGGGGCCCAGGGAGAACCCACATGCCCTGCTCACCTCCAGGCTATGCCGAGCCACTCAAGAGCATCCCGCCAGAGAAGTTCAACCACACGGTCATCCCCAAGGGCTACCACTGCCCGTGGCAGGAGTTTGTCAGCTACCGGGACTACCAGAGCAATGGCCGAAGTCACACCCCCAGCCCTGCACAGTATCGGAATTTCAACAAGTAAGGCAGGGTGGGCAGCTTAGGGAGAGAGCGGGAGGGTGCACAGGTGCCAATCATAACCACAGCAGTAGCTGAATTTCCTGAGCACTTTCTACATGCCAGGCTGTATCTGAACATGTCATAAACATTTATTGAGCTCTTGGCCTCAGCACATAGTAGGTCCTCAATAAATGTACAGGGACTGTGCCACACATCTCATTGGATCCTCCCCACAACAGGGTGAGGCTGGTGCTACAGTTTTCCCGATTCTGCCTGTGAAGAGACCTGTTCAGAAATATCAGCAACCTGCCCAAAGTCCCAAAACAAGAACGCGCAGGGCAGGGCTGGGGTCCAAGTCTGGGCTGTCTGACTCCAGAGCTTCGTTTCTTGTTGTCCATCACTACTGTGTGCCCCCTCTTTGATGCTCATAGAGGTATGCGTCCTTCCTGGGTGGGACCCCCAGATCTCACCCGTCCTAGATAGCGCAGCCTGTTCCTCATTGTCATCAATGCCTAGGAAGTGGCTTTGAGGCTGCACCAAAGCAGGGAGTAGCAGTGAGACGAATACTGGAGATGAGGGTCACAGAGGAGTGGTTTATACTGTTTACAGCATGGGGCCTCAATGTGGGCTTAAATGCAGATTCCTTACCTGACTGTGTGACCGTGGGAAAGTGACTTAACCTCTCTGAGCCTCCATTTCCCTATCTGTAAAATGAGACTATTATTGTACCTACTTCATAAGATTGTTGTGAGGATCACATAAGAAGCCATAGCCAAAGTTTCTGGCAAGCAATAAGCTCTCAATAAACAAGAGCTGCTATTATTATCATTATTATTTACAGGTTGAAATGCTAGTTGGAAAAGCTAATGGGGAATAAAAGGATATATTTAACATTCTGCCCTGAGGGCTCAGAAGCAAATCACAGGGATCAAGACAGGAGCTTGGCACTGGAGGAAGACCTTGGGCTGGGGGATAGATTTCAATTGCAATTGGCTTCCTCAGACTGATGCTATTTCTGAAAAATGCTCCTCTGGCTTGGACCACAGTAAGTGTGAAAGTGGAGGGTCCGTGGAGAGGAGGCCACAGTCCAGCTCTTCTGGCATCTGCTCAGACCACACGTGGAGACTATGTCTGTCTCACAAAAATTGATGGGTGGCGCCAGGGCCTGGAGACCAGGCCCCCTGAGGAAGAGCTGAAGGAACTGGGGGTGATGAGCTTTGAGAGGAGACTGCTGAGGCGGCATGTGACTGCCCTCAAAGTCAGGGAGGGCCTTGATGGAAAGAATTAAACCCAACGGGTGTTGTGTGTGCCATGAGCCATTGGCAGATGTTCTGGGGTCTCTCGCCAGCCAGGCCTGTGCTCTCTCACCTCCTGGGGCCGTCAGACCCTGCCTGCCCAGCTATTTAAAACCCTCAGCAGACATTCAGTCCTGACGGCCAGCTTCCAGGCGGGCCAGCTCAGGTTGCAGCCCCATCCATCTAAACCTCGGGTATGACAGACAGGCACATTCTCACCAGCAGAAGGGTCTTAGGGAGCCCTGAACCTAGATCCTTCTGGGGCAGAAGGGCCAACTGAGGCAGACTGAGGAGGAACAGCTGTGTTGGTGGCCAAGCTGTGCTCAGGAGCCAGGTCTCTGGGCTCCTAGTCAAGGGTCCAATTGTGAGGCTTGCCTTGGCTTGGAAACATCCCAGCCTGTCCCTAGGGGGCCTGGCTGTTGCTGCCACAGCTGGGGTAGTCCAAGCAGAAACCCTGTCTCGGCTGGAACCCAGGCCCTGGCCCAAGTTTTGCCTTTCCACCCCAGGGGCAAGCACCTTCCTCTTCCCATTGGGCCCAGCTTGTGGAGAAAACAGCACATGATCAATGCTTTTTATTTCTCTTAAAATTAAAGAATAGTTTTAAAGTCACATACTTACATTCTCTTAAAAACAAACTAACTATGCAACTACAAAAGAAGGGTTTCTTTGTCCTCAATCCCAGTTTCCTTTCCAAAGGTAACACTGTTGTCAGGTTGGTGTGTAAGTTTTCAGAACATTTTCTAAGAGCAGCCACATACCTATAGGGGATATAGCATTGTTTTGTGTGTATACATGTGTTTTAATACTTTGCATCTTTTTGTAACTTGCTTGCTTTTTTCACTCAACATGACGCTTTTAAAATCTACCCTACTTTATATTGATCTTTTCGTTCCTTTTGAGCTACTGTATAATATTCCATCATGTGACTACATTACTGCTGTTGTGTCCGTTCCTCTGCCAATGGCCCTGGGTTGTTTCTGGCTTGTCACCAATCCCTGCTCGTATCTGCTTCCTTGTGCGCATGTGCGTGCGCTTCCAGAAGCCATATGCTTACAGGTAGAGCTGCTGGATGGCAGAATTTGCATATTTTCAGATTAAAATGATCCTGCTAAACTATCCTCCTAGGGAGCGGCACCAGTGTGCCCTCCACACAGTAGTATATGAGTGAAGCTCTGCCCCGTTATCCAATCATTTCTTCTTGCCAGTCTTATGGTTAGAAACGCAGGTCTGTTGTAATCTGCACTTCCCTGATTCTCAATGCTCTTTCTCGTCCTCCCCTTTTACTTCAGTTTGTGGCATGTTTCTCTGAGGGGAGATGAAAAGACAAAGGAAACACCCTGTTCCAACTCTGCTGCCTTCTGGAGCTTGCTTATGGGGAACCTAGAGTTCTGCTTAGGACAAGCCAATCCCAACTCTGAAAACTTGGCTCCAATTTCTAAGCAACAAGCCATCCCAACTAGGGGCAGAGCTAGAGAAACCTGTTAAAGGCAGTGCAAAACCTTGCTGTACGGAAGGGAAAACTGAGTCCTGGAGAGAGGCAGGGAGAGGCCCCACATAGACCCACATGTCAGTGTGCTGCCATCTTGTTCCTTCCCAGCCCACCTCTCCTGCTGCTCTTCTTCCCCTAGGACCCCCGTGCCGTTTGGAGGACCCCTGGTGGGGGAGACCACATCCAGAACAAGCACCCCCTTCCTCCCAGAGCTCACCAGTGGCTTGGAACTCCTCCGCCTCAGACCCAACTTCAACAGAGTGGCCCAGGGCTGGGTCCGCAACCTCCCAGAGTCTGAGGACCTGTAGCTCCAGCCTTCAGTCCCCGGTCTCAGAGTCTGGGGAATACCAGGAGCCAAGATTTGTGGACTGCACTTCACAGTTTACAAAGGGCCTTCACACACAAAACCTATTGCAAATGGCCTCAAAGGTCACAAAGTTCGGTAGTTCACAGTTAATGGGGTTTAGAAAGTTTTTCCTTTTACTGAGATGCAGTTGTCTTTATTCATGCTCTAACATTTACTAAGCACCTACTATGTGCTAGACATTGTGACAGCTCCATGCAGAGGAGTCTGGTCCCTGACCTAGAGTAGGAAAGGATAGTAGGGAAGACAGAATTGTAAAGCAGTAAATTATCTTAATTTTTCCTAAAGCACCTGAAAAACAAAATGTAGTGAGGCAGGGGAGGGCATCTAGAACTCTGGGTGTATGTGTAGGGGGAGGGAGGTCAATTACAGGAGATTTGAACAGGGCTTCAGAGGAAGAGGAAGAGTCGATGAAGGGCAGAGGGTGTGACTCCAGGGGAGGCGCTCTTGGCCAGCGGACCAGGGTAAGCTGGAAAGGTGGAGACTTGCCACAGGGCAGGGAGTTCCGGAGCTGGGAGAGGGCTATGTTTAAGCAGTCGGTGACTCCTTGGAACAGTGGTCGCCAACTGGTGGTCTGCGAGGTCCAAAAGGTTGGTGACTGCTGGTTTAAGGAAACCTTTGGAACAGTGTCGCCAACCGATGGTCCGTGGACCACTGGTGGTCCGTGAGGTCCGAAAGGTTGGTGACCGCTGCCTTAGAAGGCCAGGTTGGGGTAAGCTGCAGTAAGAAAATGGGGAAGGTTCTTATGCTGGGGAGTCAGGGGTCTCAGTGGGCACAGATTGGAATCAGGAAGCCTTCCAGGAGCAAGGCCTGAACTAGGGAGGTGGCCACGGGGATGGGAAGAAGGGACACCTCCCTGGGCACCTTGCAGGACAGGTGCAAAGTGGAGTACCTGTAAAGACTCCTTCCCACTTCCTTCTGCTCACCACTCTGAGCAGGCTTTGGGTAGGTCTTGCCTAGTTTCCTATAGGAGTCATTCAGGGCTCTACTCTGGCTCACTAGGAAAAGGAGAGAAAGGAATGCCTTAGTTCAAGTGGTAATGAGAATGTGGTGATTACGATGGCAGATTTTTATTGGATGCCTCAGTGCTTCAGCTGCTGGGAGATTCTCTATACATCTAATTTCTACAATTCAGTAGTACAACCCAACCCTACCCTAAAAAAAAAGTATTGTCCCATTTTACAGATGTGAATATCCAGGCTCAAAAGGAGAAAAGGGCTTGTCCAGGGACAGAGCCAAAATTGATACTGTCCTATTCCAGTGGATGTCTTTTTGTACTGGGTGGCCAACCCATTGCCTGCTCACTCTGGAATCACCTCTTAATAGTGCCCTGCCTTAGAGTTTAGAGGTTAAGAGTGCAGGCTGGGAAGTCAGACTGAATGGGATGGTTGTAATTGCCACTTCCAGCCATTTCTCCCCTGTGGGCCTGTTTCTCACCTGTAAGATGAGGACAAGAATAGTAGCCCCTGTAAGGGATTGTTGCGAGCACAATGGTGGACACATACATAATGAGCGCTAGATCATTAGCCTTCATGCAACTACTGCTCTGAACTGAAGAGATGATCTTGCAGTAGATAAAGCTTGAGAAGCAGGCCTAGGATGAGACTGGAGATCAGTAGAGCTGAAGCCTGAAGAGAAGGAAGCCTCTGATCACTGCAGGGCTCCCTTGACCCATGAATCACCTCTTCCCCTTGCTTCCACCCGCCTCTTCCCCGACCCCATTTCTCTTGAGATGAGAAGGCCAGGAATCCATCTGGTTCCCAGGGCATGTGGGATAGCAGTTACCTTTTCCTTCTGCTCTGGACTTTCCCTGTGTCCCACACAGTCTCAAGGGGCAGCAGCCTGACTCTTAGAATTGTTTGCAATCAATGTGTCTTGAATTTGGGCACTGCTGTTTAAAGCCATGTTTCCGTGTGCTGAAAACCAACCATTAAAGTGTCCTAAACAAAGAAGAGCATTTCGACCACCTTAGGTTGGCTCTGCCGTGCTCTGGAGGGGAATGGCAGCCACCACAGCACAGCTGACAAGAGCCTGATGGGGAGCCTGCTACACCCAAAGCAAATCCTCATTCCTTCCTTCTTTCGTTAATATGACTTTCACTGATGTTGTTTAAAAAAAAAGAAAGAATTCTTACTGTAAAGATTTATATACAAACAAATAAAGGAAAAAGTAAAATGTGAAGGTATCTGCCCACATAGCTCCTCCCCTTCAACACAGACCTTCCCGCATTCGTGCACTCTGCCCCATTCCCACATACCATAGGTAACCACTGGTAGCAGCTTGGTGCTTCTAGAATTCTAGGATTATTTGAAGAGATAAATATGTACAGTGTATAGCTGCGTAAGTGCAAAGACATGTTTTTGTTTTCATGGGATCATACTGTATTATATTGTATTTTGCTTCTTTATTCAACAATAAGTAAAATGTGGATCCTGAAAAAGCCATGTCATTAACCTTTCATGTAATTTAAGGGCCCCAAACCCTTCATATAAAACTCTATGCTTTTGCCTGTTTTGTTCTTTATGTAAATGAAATCATAGTGAGATGGAAATGAAAAGGACCGAGAACAGCCAAAGCATTGGGAACCTGACATTAGACATAGTAGCCCTGAACATGAATGAACTACAGTTCCATGCAGCAATACAGAGGCATCTCAGAAGGTTGCGTTGGTGGTATAGTGGTGAGCATAGCTGCCTTCCAAAGGCATCTCAGAAACAAAGTAGTAAGCAAAGGGAGACAGGTCGATATGCATATGTTCAGTGATGCAAGGCAGTGTTAAATAAAGTCAGGGTAGTGGTAACTTTGGGGGAAAGAAAGGGTTGTGCTTGTAAGAGGACAAACTTCTGGGAGAGGTGGACATTTTCTATTTCTGTGATTGTGACACAGACGTTGATTGACTTTAAAATACTTAATTTAGTTGTAAATTTGTGTTTTATGCACTTTTCATATGTTATATTTTACTAAAATAATCCCTCCTTTTAAAAAAGTTACTAGATTAGTAGCAGATTAGATGAACATGAAGAATTAGTGAACTAAAATCAGCATTGGATATACTTGAAGAATTGCAAATCCCCACAATGGGATGAAATGGACAAATTCTTAGAAAAATACAATCTCCCAAATCAAATCAGGAAGAATCAGAAAACCTGAATAGGCCATTAACAACTGATGAAATAGAAGCAATAATCAAAAAAGTCCCAGCAAACAAAAGCCCTGGTCTGGATGCATTCACAGAGGAGTTTTACCAAACATTCAAAGAAGAACTAACACCTATCCTCCTCAAACTATTCCAAAAAATCTAAGAGGGGGGAACACTTCCAAGCTTTTTATGAAGCCAGCATTATCCTACTTTCAAAACCAGATAAAAACACTACACAAAGAAAGAGAATTACAGGCCAATATCCCTGATGAACATAGATGCTAAAATCCTCAACAAAATATTAGCAAATTGGATCCAGCAATATATTAAAAAGATCGTACACCAAGACCAAAGGGGATTTATTCCAGGATGCAAGGCTGGTACAATATTCGAAAATCAATAAATGTGATACATCACATGAACAAACTGAAAGACAAAAATCACATGATCATATCAATAGATGCAAAAAAAGCATTCGACAAAATCCCAATGACATGATATTATATATAGAAAACCCCAAAGACTCCACCAAAAAACTACTAGATTTAAGAAATGAACTTGCCAATGTAGCAGGATACAAAATCAACACCCAAAAATTGATAGTTTTTTTTATATACCAATAATGAATTCTCAGAAAGAGAAGCTAAACAAACAATCCCATTTACCATTGCAAAAAAAACAACAACATTAAGATACTTAGAAATAAACTTAACCAAGGAGGTAAAAGACTTGTACTTGAAAAACTACACGACTTTGTTGAAAAAGAGATAGAGGAAGATATAAACAAGTGTAAGAATATATGGTGTTCATGGACTGGTAGAATTGAAATCATTAAAGTATCCATACTACCCAACGCAATCTACAGATTATATGTAATCCCCATTAAAATACCAACAACATATTTGCTAGAACAAATACTCCAAAAATTTATATGGAA